AGAGAACTTAATGAATATTTAAAAAAGTAAAAGGCCCAAAGTGATAGATTATAGGATACTACATACCTGTTTGAGAAATTCCTCAAGGGCTTTTTCCCCCTGGGCCACAGCCAAAACGTCCCTGAGTATAACTTCGTTTTTCAGCAAGTCGATGTCCCACATTTGACCAAGGGTTAACTCAGAAAGAACCCAGTTTACATTGAGACGACGCATCAAAGAGCGCCAATGGCGCTCTTTTATAGCTTCAGACTTAAGCTCTGTGACAAGTTGGTTGGCTTTAGTATAGGCCTGCAGGGTGCGTCTGAGGTGCTCATGACTTGCATATTGGCGTAGGCGACTTGGTAGCTCCTTTAACTGGCCGGCCAGCACATCAAGATCAGAACGCAAACGACGTGGCTGCACCGTCTGCCAAGGAGTCTCCTTCAACTGATCTAGCTGATTCCAGATTCGAGACAGTTCAAGCCATACACTCTTAAGATCCTACAATGAATTTTTATATGGAAAATATACTACTTTAAGGTAAAACTATATATGGGGAGAGAGATAGATAGAGACTATAATAGTATAGATACAGAGACAAGTGTAGAAGTGAAAGAGCACAAGGGGAGATAAAGATTTAAGTCTAAGAAATATGAGCTGCGAAAAGAAGACAAAATTAAGATTCATAAAAGTAAAAAATATAACAAGTTAAAAGTGGTCTAATCGTTGCACGAACCTGGAGTTCCTCAAAGGCTACTTGTACGCGTTCTTCACTCGTTGGAAGCACACCGAATTCAGTCAACTCAAGAGCTTCTTTTGCTCGCTGAATATTCTCTCGTTCCTCATGGAGTCGATTGAATTTACCTTCTAAAATAGTAATGGACTTGACGGCGTCATCTGGCTTCAAGTTTCCAGCAATCGGTTTCTCTCGATCCCAGCACGTCAAAAGTTCACCAGTCTTATTTTCAACCACTTTATCTTCTGCAACAATTTTCATTTGAAGACTGGCCACCTAAAGTTTGAAATTATAGAAGATAAACTTTAGTGAGCGAATAATAAGTAATTTCTCAGGAAGATAGATATTGTGCGGCTTTTATGCGTGCCTCTAATCTGAACGCTATCGTATAACCGGTCTTTGATTAATCTCCATTGGAATATTCCGAAGTCTGGTTTTCTGAGGATCAAGAGGACCATGGTACAGCGTCATTCCCCGATCATAAAAGCCCTCACAAATAGTACTTACTCAGGACCACGACCCCTTAGTCGCTTATGCGCTCAGCATTTGCTCTATAGCAAAGTAAGTTGGAGACCAAAGGATCAAGAGGACCATACTTAAAAATCGGCGGAATCTAAGCATATCTTGGCACTGAGTGAGAGTATACAAAACTGATTTTGCCCGGATCAACAGTAAGTCGATACAGCGTTTCCGTGTCACTAGACTATGCAGTCTTTCCACAACAAACCTCGATATGCTCTAACATAAATCATGTATATATCCAACATTGTACACCTTCCCCATACAACCTCCATAGTTTAGATCTTATTCTTTCATAGTTTCTTTAATATTCAGTCAAGTGTTTTAGTAAAGACCATCGCGAGTCAGATCGCAAGGATTATGT